GCCTGCCTCCAGCATGAACCCCCTTCCACGTCGGAGGCTGCTGGCGCGCTGGTTCAAAGCCCGGCTTGGAGCTTGGAGCCCCGCGGTTCGAACCCCTCCTCCCCCGTCTTTCCGCCGCCCGGAGCGGGGCGCCAGCCGGGGTGCCCTCCGACACGCGCCAGCTTCCGCGTCGCTAGCTCGCCCCGGTTTGTTTTGATGGGATTTGCACTCGAATTGCAACGCGCGTCCTCCTCCCGCCACCTCTTCCCGATACTTTGTATTTTTCGATTGTAGACCGACAGCCGTCCCCTTGGTGCCTTGGAATCTGACTAGGCCTGCATTTCACACTTTTAGAAAGTTTCCCCTTTCTCACTGAAAGGAGATGTCATTTTAGAGATCGTCGTTGGGATAGAAAGGTTACATGCAGCTTGTTTTCTGCGTTTATACAGCCGCGTTGAGGCCTAAATAGTGAGACTGCATTTCAGAGTGGAGTGCCCCTGTCAGATGGGGGAGGGAGGGAGGTGGTTTCTTTGTAGCTCCAAAACGAAGTATGTCCTTGACACTCGAATTTTTACTTCAATGCAAAGTAATGGTTTCTAGACACCTATTGTAGCACATCAGGTTTTTGTTTTTTAAGTAAAGACAGTTTCTTTTTTGCACCTATTAATGATAGTTTTACAGTTTCATTTAGATAGGGTGGGGCAAAAGTAGGTTTAGGGTTGTATGAGAAACAGTTTATTTTTGTATTATTATTTATTAACTATTGTGTTCCATACAAACAACTGCGAATCTGCTGTCCCCTAACCCTGTATGTGAGTGTAGATATATACGTGTATGTGTGTGCGTGTCTCTTACAGGTGAGGCTCTAACTTTGACACAGGCTTTAAAGACATCCGCTTTTTACACAATCGTTTCAAAAGGAATTTCATACTCCTTTTTTTTCACACACTCCTGTCATTTTGTCAAGAGGCTTAGCAACATATTTCTGTAATGAGAATATTTGTTAGTTTAATTAAATATACAGACCTAAGATCTTAGAATCTGCAGGATTCCTAATTGATTCATCCTTTCATAGAACGGTGAAAAGAGGCACCAGGAGAACCCTGTCTGAGCAAGATTTTTGTGGCCTTTTCCCATTCAGCAGCAATTAGAATAAACCTAAATGTTTGCAGTGATGCCATGTGACTTCTTTGTGTTAGCTCACATTTTGTTGCTGCTTTTGAAAAGGGACTTCTGTTTCTGGTAATCTTGTCTGTATTTAAAAATGGATCAGTGATAGGAAATGTATGCATTAAAAGACTTTAATGAGGAAATAGCTCAAGTAATTGTCTTTCTAGAAAGCGAAAGTCCATTTATACCTACGTTTCCCAAACTTCCTTTGAGGAGGGATGTGTACATTTCCTTTGAAAACCTAGGTGCTTCAAATTCTTAGACAGTAGTTCAAATGTATAAGATGGAAGACACAGTCAAGACAGCAAATTTATACCGGGTTATTGTCTTTCCAGTGTGCTTCTTGAAATGTCAACAATATGGCAAATTTTTCATTAGCTAGCCCTCTCATTTTTAACCCAAAGTGTACAAAAAAAGACCAAATCTGCCTAGTTAGATAGACCCTTTCCCTCATTAATTTGCTTTGTTTTTCATGTTCTGTTGTCAGCTGTCTTTAATTTTTGTTCCTTTGAAGTTTTGAATTGTGATTTCTAGGGTATATTAGGTTTGACTTTCACTTTAATTTTGGGTATGCCTGTCCTGTTAAATTTGTCAGACTGGACCAAATCAAAATAAATTATTGAAGTTTAGGTCATTATACAACATTGTGAACAAGCCCATATTTTATCTAAAAACCATACATAATTGCATATATAATTTTTAAAAAATATTTTTATTGATTTTTTTTACAGAGAAGAAGGGAGAGGGATAGAGAGTTAGAAACATCGATGAGAGAGATCGATTAGCTGCTTCCTGCAAGCCCCCCACTGGGGATGTGCCTGCAACCAAGGTACATGGCCTTGACCGGAATCAAACCTGGGACCCTTCAGTCCGCAGGCCGACGCTCTATCCACTGAGCCAAACCGGTTTGGCTGCATATATAATTTTGAAAGGTTCATATGGTTTAAGAGCCATGGTGATGAAAGCTTCCAACAGTTTTGATGGTAATGAGGTTCATTAATGGAGTTTCTCACATTTTGGGCTGTATAATCTCTCATGGGGCTGTCCTGTGTATTGTAGAGTGTATGACAGCATTCCTGCCCCTCTACCTGCTAGGTTTCAGCAGCCCCACCTTCCCATCTTCCTAGTAGTGATAACTAAAAAAACACTAGATGTTGCCATATGTACTCTGGGGCAAAATCTTTTTGTTGAGAACCACTGCATTAATACAGAGTATAATGCCCTGATGGAAACTATATTCCGATTGCTGATATTTAGCAAGAGACTTGAGGGATATAATAACTTTCCTCACAAATATTTGTGGGGCTGTCACCAAAAGGGATTGGAGTAGTTTGATGTGGTCATCAGTTGAACTGGGACATGTTGGTGGATACTAATATTGTTTGTAGCAGTGGTTCACGGAGTGACCTGAGGAAGCCTTGGGGTGTGGGAGTTCCTGAGATCCTTTCAAGGAGTACATAAAATCCAAACTATTTCATAACAGTACTGAGGTATGTTTTTATACTCTACTGACACTTGCACCAATGGTGCAAAAGAAATGATGGCTAATACTATTCAGGGCTTAGGAAGAATCAAGGCAGAGTTAGCATTGTGCTAGTAGTCGTCGTATTTCTTCACCGTATACAAGTTTATTAAAAGTCCTTGATGAATCAGTAATGTTAGTTTTATTAAATGTTGATCTTTGAGTTTGTCTTTTAAACATTCTGTGATAAAATGGGAATTACACATAAAGCTGTATCTAAAAAGTAGAATGGCGCCCTAACTGGTTTGGCTCAGTGGATAGAGTGTCAGCCTGCGGACTGAAGGGTCCCAGGTTCGATTTCAGTCAAGGGCGTGTACCTTGGTTGCAGGCACATCCCCAGTGGGGAGTGTGCAGGAGGCAGCTGAATCGATGTTTCTCTCTCATCGATGTTTCTGACTCTCTATCCCTCTCCCTTCCTCTCTCTAAAAAATTAATAAAATATATATTTAAAAAGTAGAATGGCTGTTTTGAGAAGGACACATGTATGATTGATTTGTGAAGCACTAAACTAGTGCTTTTCTTATGAAGCTCTATTTTTACCTAAAAAAAAAACAAGTGATGTACCGTGGGTAGTCATACTTGACTATTTAGCATTTACTTGAAAATGAAGTGAGCCTGCCTCTTTAAGGAATATAACATAGTATTTGTGGTCAATGATAAAATTTGAGCTTTCAAGCCAAAATTAGAATTTTGGAAAGCATGGTTCTGCCATTGTAATGCTTGATAGCCTCTCAACAATTAAACATGTTTCTAATTTGATTAGTGGCGATATTAATTTGTATAGTTTTTTGGATAGTGTGTAATAATGTGTCAGCATCTGGAAAATATGTATAATTCAGTGAGCCCACATATTCCAAATCACCAATCATCCTATATAATAAAAGCATAAAATGCAAATCAACTGAATGGCAGAACGACCAGTCGTTATAACTCTCACTGACCACCAGGGGCAGATGCTCAACGCAGGAGCTGCCCCCTCGTGGTCAGTGTGCTCCCACGGGGGAGCGCCGCTCAGCCAGAAGTTGGGTTCATGGCTGGCAAGCACAGCAGCAGTGGCGGGAACCTCTCTCGCCTCCATTGCAGGTGGGTGGTAAGGTGCGAGGGGTCCCGGACTACGAGAGGTCACAGGCCAGGCTGAGGGACCCTCTTCCCCAATGAACAGTTCTCGTGCACTGGCCTCTAGTGATATAATAAAATCACTTGTGGGTAAAAGGTACATTCAAAGTGCAAGGTAGACCAATGGATTTTAATGCAACAAAGTACAAAGGGTTTATTGATCTGGTTTCAGCTTTCATACTATAATATGAATGAAATAATCACTTGTGGAGTTTTGGTGTAGTATCTAAGAAGAATATCCACAATTATTTGAAAGGTTACTAAAATACTCTTCTCCAGTTACAATGGTATGATGACAGGTTTTCTTCATATATGTCTACAAAAACAGCTTATTGAAAGGGATTGAATGCAGAAACAAGGGAATCCAGCTGTCTCTGATTAAG